TAATTACCTAATTTGCATAATTAGTTAATTTTTTGCTGTCTATGGCTGTTGCACTGATGTCTAAAAGCCACTCATTGGATTTCAATGAAACTTTTAAAGAGTACCCATCACATTTCAATGAACCTAGGACTATACACCATATTAGTTTTTGGTAAATATTTATGCTTCTTAATCACCTAATTAATATAATTAATTAATACTGATATCTCAAGTATTGATCATCACATTTGAATAAAACTTGGTACATAAGTGCTCTAGGACAATAGACAGCCTGATTAATTTTTGGTTAAAATCTGTTCATATTAATTTTCCAATTAGCATAATAATTAATATTATTTTGGTTCTAATCACATTTCAATGAAACTTTACATTGTGCAGACCTTATTAGTTTTACACTTAAATCTGTTCATATTAGTTACCTAATTTGCATAATTAGTTTTCTGCGTTTCCATCAACATCTCAAGTTCAAGTAATTTTGAATTAATTTTGAATGTGTCTCCAATACTCTCAGCACACGGGAGTTCTTTCTAAGCTTTCTTTGATTTATTTATTAAAATTACATTATTATGAAAATCAAAACAATTGATTACAGCTTACAAAATTACTCTTTGAAAAGTCATTGGATTTGAACTGTGCACTGGTGGATGGTTTAGCTGTGAATGGTGTAGTTTGTTTGTTCAGTAACAAGTTAGATATTAGCTTAACTTATGTTAGTAATGTACAAATGCAGACATATAACACCACAACAAATACAGCGACAAACTCATTTTCACTGACCTTTTTTAGTGATTTGTTCTTAAATATACAAAAAAATTTACAATGGAAACCACTAAGATTTGGTCATTGATGTTGCTCTGTATGATCAGAGCAACTGATTACCTATCTTGTTTCAAAATATTGTTGATTATCTGCAGACTTTTGTCTACAGTCTAGGTGTACTAGTATTTACATTATTTCTATGTGTAAACTGTAGACAAAGTCTGCCGATAATCAACAATATTTTCAAACGAAGAAAGTAATCAGTTGTTCTAATCTTACAACATTCAGACCAGAGCACTCTCAATGACAAAATCTCTGTGGGTTTCACTGTAAAACCCTTACATCCATGGGCTTTATGCTGGTACAAATGTTGCTGTAAATTAATAGTACCCAAAACCAATATCTTAGACTCATCAATTGAAAATTTCATATTTAATATTGCTGGTGGTATTTGTTTTGAGTTGAATATTTTCAGTGCTCTTGGACACAAGTGGTATGACTGCCACATATTGGTTGATTTATTCCTCAACATTCCATAGCAATCAAGTAACCTGTATTTTGTATCGGTTTTCAACAAGACGTTGTTTCACTTCGTTTAAATGTTTCCATAATCGCTTTACCATCAATTTTCTAGGAATCACAATATCATGTGCTGTTAGATTGTTCTCATGTCTACGAGTCATTTTGTGTTATTACACATTTAGTTTTACTTGTAGTGGCAAT